TATGGGGGGCCCTTGGCTCTTCAAAAACACAATCCCTGATTACTGCACAAAAGAGAGTTGTACAGACAATGACCTACTTGAAAAAAACAGATCACACAAACGAAAGATTTGCTAAATTGAAAATGTTAAAATTCGAAGATATTAACACCTACTGCTGTGCCCTCTTTGTTTACAAATCTATCAATCACTTGCTTGACAATAATTATTTCCAGTTTCGGAATAATCAGAGATACAACTTGAGGCACCCAGAGCTACTAGGACCACTCCCCATGTGCGCCTCTCAGTCCCAGACCTCCATAAAATATCACGGTGTGAAGGTGTGGAACAACTTACCCCCACCCATTGGAGCAAAGACTACGCTTCCTTCCTTCCTTCCTTCCTTTAAATTCATCTCTTAAAAAAAATCTATTGTGTAAGTACATGTATTAATATTTCTTGTAATACCTACTATATATATATATATATATATATATATATATATATATATATATATATATATATATATATATATATATATATATATATACAGTACCTGCTTTTATTGTACCATCAAAACCGTTTTATCAGAAATTATAATGATAATAGATAAGAAATTACCATTGCAATAAATATATTTGCCAACTGGACATAATCCCGACAGCTCTGTCCTCTTGTTCAACCTTTATAATGTACAAACCATGTTGTACTGCTTCCCCATTATATTTATGTTTTTCAATTCCACTAATTTATGTATACACTTATAATATAAATTAAAAAAAAAATATAATAATAAATAAATAAATAAATAAAGTAAATATTGAAGTGATAACCGTGGTAACATTCAGAGATGTTCTTATTACCACCATGCTAATGTACCATTCCAGAGGTTACTAAATTTTATATAATACTTCCTTGAGATAAATTCACAGTATATTTCAGGTGCCTACAAGAGAGCTCAGGTTCTCAACTGGCTCAGCCATGTTAATATTGTTATTATTATCCACTCTGTATCTGTGTTTTCTGGCTAAATAAACTATTTAAATTCAATTCAATTCACAGGGCAGAGAGGTCGACATGAAGACCAACATGATTCGCTTTCATTCATTCTTTCCGACTGATATAACGGATGTGTTCTATTCTGGTGTTCCCTTCCCACAACAAGAAACCGAGACTTCCATCAGGTTTAACCCGACGCTGCACACACACCAATTCGTCCTTCCCAAAGTCAGTACCGTCAATATATGAAACTCGTTATGTGGAAAATATTGGGTCACGTACTGTAAGCTTATACAGCAAGAAATGTTCAAGAATAATACAACCATTTTAGGGCCTTAAGACAACAAAAACGTCTTCATACCTAAAATCATCACAACTCAAAACTTTCCTTATTTTATATACCAGGTAATATAGTCATTGTTTACATCTTACATGTACAGATTTAACACCGACATTATTCTACATTAAATAACTCTGACATAACGTGACTGTCAAATCTACTCATATAGGCGTTTCCTTGCTTGAAACTGAACACACTTGGAGCAAGAAGTTTTAAAGTGTTAATAAGGAGACACCTGCCATAAAACGCTTCCTGCTTAAAATTACGACCATCTTCTCTTTCATGGTACTATGTTATATACAACAAGTTCCTACTATAGGTCTCTAACAAGGAAAAGACCCGTAATGGTGTTTTTTATTTTATTTATCAGTAAATATTAATGATACACTACGGAAATATATACGTTCGTGCAACGTAGCTGGAGCCATGTGGCGTTATACAGCTGTGCTGAGAAGACACCTCACCCCCCCTCCCTCACCTTCTCTCCCCCAGTGTGCGCGGCTCAGATAACGGATTTAGAAGTTCTACATAACGGAGTTGCCATCAACACCCGTTCGTTAGCATCTATAAAAAGCCTAACTCCCTGCGCGCGCGCGCGCGCACACACACACACACACACACACACAGAGGTTTTCATCCTCTACAAAAAAAAAACTCGCTTCCTTCAGCTTGTCCGGGACTTCTCTCTCACCGCCCCGGCGCCCGACAGGTGTTACCCTAATAACTTGTTAGAAAAAAAAAACATCTGTACATCATCTACTATAAACTTGTATAAAAAGACTCTTGTATCACCAATTCCCTCGTCGTCCGTCGCAAGCTACCGAAATACTGTACACTTAGCATAAATCTCATATTTGTAGGCCACTTTATGCCTGACACTCAACCACTGCACGTTGGTCTGGACCTGTACAGTAGTATTTACAAAACCTGAATGTATTTATGAAATTATCTTTACTATTTTAATTTCCACCTTTAATAATATTATTATAATTATTATCTTTATTATTACTATTATCATCATCCTAATTATTACCGCGCTATTAGTATTAGCCCAGCAGATGTCACTGTAAAAATAGCCATGTCACCACCATGACAAAAAATTACTAAACAATAAAATTTAAGTTTGACGTTATCCATTACAGATATCTGGATCAATAAACTCCCCGAGTAAGACCGCTAGTGTTATACAGTTCATAAGTTAAAACCAGACGAAAAACATGTTCTAACCCGAATGACAACAGACAGACCTCCAAACTGTGATTACATTTCGCTACAGCCACAATAACACGCCATTAGTTACTAGTAGCCATTCTATTATACTTAACAGATGCTAAGCGGTACACGTGGTTGGTGGACAGAAGGAAGGCGAGGTTGGGGGCCGCCTGACTTACTGAAAGGTACTGTGAGCTGTCAAACCTAGTAAGGTGTTTTACTGCCTGACGAACTGACGAATGAAGAGAGACATGTTACTGATTGACTGACTGATGAGATGTTCTACTAACTGACTGACGAATCATGAGCCTTCATTTGCAACGTGACGTCTTAATGGCTGAATGACTGATGAATAGCTGGACGTCTATGTAACGAGGCGTTTTATTGGCTGAGGCGGTCAGGCACAACGAACTCTTGTATGCAACCACACGTTTTACTGCCTCACTGATTGGGGACCAGGCGGACTGAATCAATCTCGCCGGTCTAACTCCTAATCGGCCGGACACGTGACCCAAATACAAATCATCGTTCAGTCACAAGCATTACACTGTTCCGAGACTTACCTCAGCTGAGATTATGGAGGCATGGAACCCCCCCCCCGAGCCTCTCAGCGGTTAAGTCTTGGGAGAACGGATGGAGGATGACTAGTGTTTTCTACTGAGGTAAAGGTGTATTGCTCATCAGCGATAACCCCCTACCACCACTCCTACTCATCACCACCAACCAGCCTGACCACCACTAACTTCCCTATCACCAACATCCCTAGAACACCAAAACCATCATCCCTACCACTATTTCAACAACCACTACCACCAACCCTACCACCACTACCAGGGAGCCCTACACTGTGGTGACGGCTGTACATAATCACAGGGTACACGGATGGTTGGCCTCTACTCAGGGGTAACATTTCCTCCTCAACCCACGAGTTTAATTTTCCCGTTTAGTGCTCGGCGTGACATCCTATCCTTTCCTCTCTACTTGGGGTGACACTCGGCAACCAACTCGGGGGTAAGGTGTGTGTGTGTGTGTGTGTGTGGGGGGGGGGGCGCTAAAAACACACCAAATATATCTGAGTAGTTTCATCAGTCTCATCTAGAAAATAACATGAAAAGCCAGAGTAGAGTAGAGCGTTAACCTCATCACACAGTGTATTCATAATGTGTGATTCAAACATGTCATTAGCGTCTTGGAGGGTCAATTACACAAATAATTAATGACATTACAATAATTACTAATCACAATTATTCACTTCCGACTTCGCTCTTCAAGTGGGAAGCCAAAACGAAGGTACACGAAGACTAACCCAGAGTTACGGTGATGGTGGAAAATAAATGGATGTAAGATTCGGTTTTTTTTTTTGAAGGAGTTTCGACTTTAAACAGACCATTGTGATTTGTTTCTCAGCCTGTATGTGTACTCTCGGCTATACCCATTCATTTATGTTTCACTACATAACACCAAGATACACTGTTCCTTGTAACTCCTCCGGTACAACAACCTAAAATACTATCATCGAACTAAAGGAAATATTTTATCATATTTCAAGGGGTCAAATCATCGTTCTTTTTGAGTTCCCTAAATTCAAAGTCTCATCCCGTGTTTTGTTTTTTTTACCTGGTACTGTATATATCGTGTCTGCTCTGTATTTCCCTATTCAAAAATATTCTAAAAGACCTTAACAACATCAACCTAGAGAAGTCAACTTGTGAAAGAGACCTAGGAGTACTTGTAAGCCCGGACCTACGGCCTAGAAAACAGTGCGTTAATGTTCGAAATAAGGCAAACAGAGTATTGGGTTTTATATCTAGAAGTGTAAGTAATAAGAGTGCAGAGGTCTTATTGCAACTATATCTTGCGCTAGTCAGGCCGCACCTCGATTATGCGGTTCAGTTCTGGTGCCCTTATTATAGAATGGATATCAATTCACTAGAGTCGGTGTAGCGAAGAATGACGAAAATGATTCCGGGACTAAGAAACCTTCCATATCAAGATAGGTTAAAGAAACTAAACTTGCATTCCCTAGAAAGACGAAGTGCGGGGAGATATGATAGAAGTATTTGAGTGGGTGAAAGGAATCAATAAAGGAGATATAGATAAAGTTCTTATAATATCCGAGCAGGATAGGACTCGAAGCAACGGATTTAAGTTGGGTAAGTTTAGGTTTAGGAGGGAAATAGGAAGGAACTGGTTCACAAATAGGGTGGTGGACGAGTGGAACAAGCTTAGCAACTATGTCGAGTGCTGGAACGCTGGAAAGTTTCAAAAGGAGACTGGATAGATTCATGGATAATAAGAGTGGTAGTAACTCTCGACAGGAGCTGCCATGCACAGGCCAACCGGCCTATTGCAGACTCCTTATTTTCTTTTGTTCTTATGTTCTTATGCCCTTGGCTGCTACTGAGCGCCAGGAGACACGTTCTCACTCGGTGAGGTCACAAAGGTGTGTGTGTGCGTGGTGTGTCAGACTCACCTTCAGCAGACTGGGTTCCTCCTGCTCCCTGGCCTCCCCCAGCCAGGCCTGGTACGCCAGCCTTCTCCAGCCGGTCCACAGCTGTCTCCAGCCGGGCTACCAGTGATGCCAGCTCTCCTGCCATGATGCTCACCAATTCTGTAACACAAACAAGGGTCACACTGTTAGTATAAACACTACACACAGCTTATGACGCCATCCTTATCATACGCACTAAACACATATAACATTAACCACACCACATCATCTACTACACTATACATCCTACAAACAATATTACAACAGCATTTTCTCAACAAACACTCAGACTCATTTCCACAATCAAAAGTACAGCGTCGTTACAAACATCATACCATATACCATCGCCAGTTCACACTTCATACTGTAATGCAGTGGTCCCCAACCTGTAGTTCACGGAACCATATTATGGAGCCTGCGGCAAGGATTTAAAATATATATATATATATATATATATATATATATATATATATATATATATATATATATATATATATATATATATATATATATATATATATATATATTTATATATTATTTGGGATTTTTTGTAAGAGAGAAATTAATGAAAATGTGTAAGAAAGGTGAGGGACCACTGCTGTAATGCAACAAAGGATGCCTGTTCTCCGGCATCCCCCCCCCCAATACACGTTAATGTACATCACGCACCTGTCTGGTGAAAGGAGAGGATAACTATTGAGATGAAAGTTATGAAGCCGATATCCCTTTAAGTGTCATATGTACATTTTACACACCTGTCATATGCATTGCCACTATCACGTGTCACAAATATAAGTCATATGGAGCCGAACTACTTAAAGTGTCATAAGTCCGTGTCATGAAGGCTAAACATTTAAAATACCCGTCACAAGTGTCAACCACAAACACGTGTCATAAGAGAACCATTGTAACCACCAAGGCTTAATACATGATAAATCTTCCATGATCCTCACCCACTACAACACCTCCCTATGTAATCAATCCTACAACATGTCATAAGAATATAATAACCAATATCACAACCACTACAACACGTCATAAGGGAGGGAGAGCCATAATCATTACGAGAGCCATAATCATTATCGGTAAGTGATTAGGGATGATATAACTCTCCAAACACCTTAAACATTTGACATGGTTGTGACATCTATTATTACTATTACCGTAAACTATTATAACACGTAACGGTAAAGAATATAAGCACAATTTTATTTATGGAAACACAAAAGCAGACAAAATTTCCCGTCTACTCTCACTGCTTACATGCCAAACGACACTTTCAACCATCAGGATAAAGGAATTTGCAGTATATTCAAAATACACAAAGGCGGCTCTGAAAAATGGTTCCACTTAGATTATATACCAAAGTTAGCGGTTAAAAACACATTCTCTTTAGTTATAGCGTTTTCTATGACGGGTCGAGGGAATGGACGTCACAACAGGAGGTAAACACCACCCACTCTCCCAGCTAATATAAAATATTTATCCATAAAATTCTATCACCACTTAAATAGCATTTATGATTAGTTATTATAGTCACGGGGAGAGTGGGGTGAGGAGCATGATTTCACGAGAAATTTTCGTTAAGACACACACAGAGAGGCAGTAGAGAAGCAAGTCCATCTTATTAATCTATAAATGAAACATTTTTAAGCCTACTTCCTGTTTCACTATGTCTGGAGTCTCCCTACTGCCGGTACACTCTCACTAGTCACTTCCTTTTACTGTTAATCAACACGAACAAGTGACACTTTACAAGAATATTAACCATTCATAAGATGGCTATTACCTTAACTAACACTAATTAACTTCACTTATGTTAATTGGGTAGTTAGCTTAACGAGCTAATGAAGCATCGACCCGAGGTTAATGGGATGACTCAGCAACAGTTATTATGGGAGGTCGTTTAGAGGGGCGAGGCGGTGAGGGTGAGTGTGGTGGTAATTATAAGGCTGGTGCTCTCCTCAATGGACCTAACAAACACATTCCCAATAATAATAATAATAATAATAATAAAAATAATAATAATCCACTATAGGATAAAATGTGGTTCATTTTAGATCAATTTAATCAAAACACAGCTAACTAATCATCATCATTCTGTCCCCTCATCCTACAAATTTCTACACATATCTGCCGTATTAAATGTGTGGTGCTGACACACACACACACACACACACACACACACACACACACACACACACACACACACACACACACACACACACACACACACACACACACACACACACACACACACGTACGTACGTGAGGTAGGAATCTAAGGATTGGGGGGGGGACCACAATAGGTGAAAATTCTACGGGTTGGGTCCGCTAAATTTCGTTGTGTGGGTTGTCTTGCTAAAGCAGCTAAACAAACATTTAGTGTAATGATTAATTAATTAATAATAATAATAAGTACTATAGAAAATAACCGGTATGTAAATATTATTAATACCAACGAATGTTAACCGATGAACTAATTAATAATAACAAAGAATATCAATTACTGGAATAACAAAAAACTACTTTTAATGGTAATCACGAAATCTTAAGGTGGACCAACACACACAGTTACAGTAGCCCACCACACAATGTCAATATTGGTCCATTTAGGGTCAAATGGTCTACAGCAATCGTTACTAAAATATTGCTTACATAAAGGAGCGCTACTACAGGCAAAAGGTCGTCTGGCGTTACGTTACCACAGCGGGGTGAAGGAATACACCAAGTTCTCGTTTTATGGTTTATGCCATCAAAGTGCCCTGTAGGCAGAAGGCGGTCAAATGTTCGTCTGGGCGCTCATCAATGCTCGTGCTGGCGTTGTTTTTCAGTGCGTTCGATTGCACGAGGAAGTTGGACAACTTGAGCGAGTCTTAGACCTTACTGGGTGGTAGAGGGTAGTGCCCGACACTGTTCACTGCTCGTGCTGGAGTTGTGTTTATGGAAGCTGCGTGATAGTCAATTCGCCCTCCTAGCCTAAGAGCACATAAGCACGTCGTCAGGCCATACTCTTACCTAGCATTCGCGTTTACAGAGCAACTATGGCTGGGTCCAAGATTCTCACAAACTCGTTGGTAAATTTTCTCCCTCTTTACAGTCGAGTTTCTCAGCAGTTTCGACACCATTTTCAGCGTCATATTTGTGATACAGCTTAAGTCAGCCACCCAGATGACTTTCTCCCACCTCCAGCAAGGGTGAATATGTCTGAAGTAGGAAGTTTGAAGAATTAATCTAGGTTCCTCGGCTTGAATCAACTTGCGAGATGAGCTCCTAAAACTCAACAAAGGGTTCATGCGGCTCGAATTAGGCGAAAAACATTAACAGAGGAACCTTAAGAGTGTAGATGGTGGGCGACAGGTAAATGTGAGCTAGTTTTTATGGCGTGTTTATGGGTAGTGTGTTCCTTCACCACCACAGCCTGGATGCCTGGTGGGTTACCTGACTCACCTTGTGGAACTTTCAATCACTCTCAATCTCTCACACACGCACACATTTACTCTCTCTCTCTGGTGTGTGTGTGTGTGTGTGTGTGTGTGTGTGTGTTTGTGTGTGTGTAATCATTTCTACACTTACAAACCGCTCACCATCCACCCTCTTATTGTCAGCTGCCTTGTGAGCTCTATACACGCCTTCCCTGACTGACTTTACTCATCGATTTACTGACCGACCAACTCAAAGAATTTTTCTTCCACGGCCGCTCAAGCTATGGGTTTCTTACTGAACTATTCATTTACAAACACAAATCAGTTAATTTCAACGCCGAATATCCCAATGATAAAGATAGTTTAATTAAGTTATGATTTAACTCTTTGGGAAAGGTGAATGAACACCTTGAGGATGATACCTTAAGCCCTCGTCCTCCAAAAGCCAAGGAATATAGCTTAAAATCGACTTGAAAGACTTGCATCTTAAACCCCCGTCCTTAAAGAGCCAAGAAACAAGTTGCCTTTACAGTCAGGTTAGTTGATTTTAATACATCTTCATAGTAAGTCATGACACCATACCAACACTACTCTTCCTGTACTCGTCCCTAGGATACTGCCTCTTAATAAATAACTTTCACGTTAACCTTTAATATTTGGTAACACCTGAGACGTATCGTACCTGTACCTGTCCTGTTGTTTTTGAGTTTAATATTTCCAACCCCCAGAGGCAATATTGTACCAGCAACTGTACCTGGGCCCCTGGATTGACGACTAGAATATCAGTTTAATATTGGGCACATCAGAGGCAATATTGCACCTGTGCTGTTGCATCAGACCGATGCTCTTGTTTCAAAGTCAATATTCTGAATATGAATCTCAAATTTAATATTACACGGGGACAATATATCAGGTGAGGCGAGGTGGGCGTGGCGGAGACCTTGATGGACGGGCGTGAGGCATCAGGTGACACTTGACCTAGCTGAAGGACGGGTGTCTCGTGTTGTCAACTCTCTCTCTCTCTCTCTCTCTCTCTCTCTCTCTCTCTCTCTCGTCCCCACTCATTTCATTTCCTCCCATGTCATTACATCTCTCCCTTATTTTCTGTGCCCGTCTCTCCCTCTCTCACACATAACTTATTTCCCCCTCAATTAAAACAAGACTAAAGCTAAAAATAAGACTTTCATCACAGTTAACAGGTCGTCACACACACACACGCCCGTTATAGCACACTAAATTACCTGCCTGCACACAACCTCTTTTAATTAAAAAAAAATGATTCAACTATCAACCACATCATAAAATAATATTAATTCTCTAAGTAAAAAAAAAAATACAATAACCTGTAAACAAATTCATCTATAAATGCATTACAACAAAATAAATGTATAACAAATTCTTACACATACCGTACACTAATAACGTTAACAAACACAAATACATACATTACAATACGCATAACAACACACATGACTCAACTAATCCGGACAAAATTAATTTACCAGGTGGGAAAAAAACACAATTAATATTTCAACTAACCCACGCAAGAACATTATTAATTGGAGCGAATAATAAAAGAAAATATTATGAGTACATCCCGGCTTTAATTACCACGTTTTGGCACAAGTGGAATAATATTAAATGGTAAAGGGCTCTCGTGTACACCTGGGAACAAAATATCCATGGATACTTTTGGCAATATGTGGGTACTGAAGGCACGCGCACACGCACGCACGCACGCACGCACGCACGCACGCACGCACGCGCGCACACACACACACACAAGGAATTTGTCTTTCTTTGCGTCCTTTATTTGTATTATAAATCTTTTTTAAGTTGCTATTTACACTATAATTTGTAAGGTAAAGTAACGTTCTGCAGCTATAATTTGTAAGGTAAAGCAGCGTTCTCCAGCTATAATTTGTAAGGTAAATCAACGTTCTCCAGCTATAATTTGTAAGGTAAAGCAGCGTTCTCCAGCTATAATTTGTAAGGTAAATCAACGTTCTCCAGCTATAAACCAAAATCTTATCCGTGAACTACAGATAGATGCCAGACACTCCCCAGCGTCAGGGGAATTTGCGCGGGGATTGTGGCTTTAAAACGTGTGTGTGTCTGTCTGTGGGAAGTGTTCCTCCACTGACTGTTTTAACCGTTCCTCGTAAATGTTCTCAACGGCCTCTTGTTCCTGGTCGCCAACTCCACTGGTGCTCTGGAGTGAATGAATCGGTCTTTTGCATATTTGTGAAGAATAGAAACAAAAGAATTCAATTTACGTGGGTTGAAATTCACTCTCTTTTTTTCTTTCTCCCGTCGTGGGTGAACGAAACACACACACACACACACACACACACACACACACACACTATTTGTCCATTTCTCTGTTTGTCGACATCAATCAAGAATGAAACGACAATTCTGTAATTCCTGAAAAACTGTATTCCTTCAAATGGTTCCTAATTACGACTTTCACCACATGAATGACTCAGGGGAAGGGGAAGAGGGGTGAGGGTAAAGCTAAAAAAATATACACCGTCTGTGCCCTTCACCCCCCACATCCCACCCTCGAAAGAGCTGAGAACCATAAGAGGTGTCGCTAGGCCTACGAGTACTGACGAACAAGAGCATTAGGGAGCAAAGAGAAGCATTAATTGTGGTGGTGGGTGATAGTGGTAGTCACTGTGAAGGTGGAGTGGTGGTCAGAGTAATAGTGTAGGTGATGGTGGTAGTTATGGTGGTGGTGCTTATAGTAATAACGGTAGTGGTGGTGATAGTGGTAGTCATGGTGGTGGTCATAGTAGCTGTGGTGGTGGCGGTAGGAGCAGAAGCAAATCAATAAGACACTAGTGCAGACAACCCCATGTTTTCCATCCCTCGCCACCACCAGCACCGCCGCCTGCACCGCTGTCGTCAGTAGTGTCGCGTCCTTCCCTCCACCACCACCCCCGTCTCCCAACGGTGGCGTCACAGCCTCGCGTCACCCTCGATCGGTCATATCGCGTCACCCTCGATCGGTCATATATCATTTTGAGTTATTAAGTCCATCATACACCCACTGACCACCTCCCACTGGGCGACACACTGTTAACACGCTTCTCTATACAATGTTACAACGTTTTCCGTGTTGGCCAGTACCTGATGGTGGTATTTTGACGTGCCTACACCTGCCAACAATATGTGAGACCCCAATACCTGTCCTAGACCCTTAAACTGCATAACAAAGGGTGATAGAAACGACCTCAGGAGACCAAGTAATACCTACTCTTTTGTACATAGTCATCACTACCTTAGGCTACAGCAAGATGTTACTTCCTGCCATGTCTCATCCTCCTACAGCCCCCCCCCCCACCAGCCGTCACCATCATGTCGTCCCTTCATGACCAAATATCTCTCTCCTCCTTCAGGCAAGCTCGAGGGAGGTGTATACAGTCTCCCAGGGCGGGTGGTTGTCTTGACCTTTAAGCTTCTGACCGCCGTAAAATACACTGCAGCTCTTGGGTGTTGTGAAGGCTACGTGGATGTGTAAACCAAGTACTAAGAGCAGTTCTTCCCGTTCTCGAGTTTCCTTCTGCCCACATGTCTCCACATACAGACAGACAGACGCGCGCGAGCAGACACACACATGCAAGCAACACTCCCCGTCTTACTTACACTATCTGTCAACGTCCATTATTGCGTGTTAAACTATGTGGTACAGTCCATTATTGCGTGTTAAACTATGTGGTACAGTCCATTATTGCGTGTTAAACTATGTGGTAGTCCATTATTGCGTGTCAGACTATGTAGTCCACTATATTATTGCGCGTTAAACTATGTAGTACAGTCCATTATTCAGAGGCAAACACGATTATTACATACATAATGTCAAAGAAATCTAACCAGAGAAAAATGTGAACTCATGATTCTAACACACTAGTGATGGGTGAGCTTTACAATGGCGCGAGAAAAAAAGAGAAGAGGCGGGCAAGGAATTGAACAATGGTGGTTTGTGTTGGTTATGACTGGTGGCTACAGCATATAGAGGGGAAACAATGGCGTCGAGATTACATAGAGACTTTACAGTAATAGTTGTTTCTACTAACCCCACCAGACGACGAGGATCACCGCGAATTTGTTTATTGGGTGGATTAAACCGCTGATATGGAGAGCATATAAAGAAGTCCCTCTCTCGTGACAATATTCATTACTAAGGTCAGGATAGGCGAGCAATAGGAGGTAAATTTAACACATGAATTTTTGACGACCAACGTTCTAACTTGGTAATAAAATTCCCAACAAAACAAAACTTTTGATAGTTGGTTTAAAAGGTCTTTTAATGACTCACTTGACTACTGATTGTGACTCCACGGATTTTGTGACAACAGTAAAAACAGAGAGATGGTTTATCAGGTGTTATAAGAAACAGCGCTGTGATAACCTCGTGCTAATTCACGTCTCCACTCAATCAGCTGTTGCACCGCCCACCTGTCATCTACAGTATATCCCGGGAGGACAGCCACCTTCACCCTAAAGAAACAATACAAGAAGCCTCGCCACCCTCTCTCTCAAAAATAATAAAATACTTAACATAAAATATAACAGGGAATAAAAAATCTGAATCCATGACCAAACTTGTTTTTCATCAAGTTCAACGTCTACACTCAAGACGTGAAATATGTTATCACAGTGTGACAACATTGTGCTCGAAGGTGTAAATTCTGCTCCCCTTCCACAATCCTATTATAATACTGTACTGGGTCCAGATTCTCAAGGAGTCGTAAGAGTAATACTCCTCGTAACTATAAACATAAGACACCACCTAACTAGTTGACTTAAGCTAAAACATTAAAATGTCGCCAAAAACTGCGCCATAATTACATAGCGAGACGTTTACTTCAAGACAAAGTTAACACACAAAGTTTACCAAAAGCTTTTTATGTTAATTTTGTTTTTTAACTGGTACTGATGAGTGTATCTACTTACAGTATAGTATAGTCTTAAGTGTAATTATAGATGCTTTTTGGGATTAATCTTTATATTTTACCGTAAGTCAACCAATTAGGTGAATCCTTACATCATTAGTAAGAAGGAAACTCATCGTAGGAGCCCTGAAGGTGGTAAACAGTTTCAGGTCCTGTGTGCTGCGCTGTACAGTACACGATTGTGATAGATCCCAAGTAACCTACCTTCTTCTGAGACACTCTCGTCGAGGCTGGTGGATAGAGGAGGGTTGGTAGAGGGATAAGGGCGAGCGGCAGGGGACGTGGACACACTCTTGGCACTAGTACTATCCACGGGTTCGTTTGGGTGAATGGCTCTGTCCTGCACCTTATCACTACCACAGTCGGGGATGTCCTCGTCCTTACATGTCGCTGATACGTCATTTGCCGTTGAGTTTTCTACAGCTTTCAAGGCTAAGGTATCCTCCTTTACCTCACACGCACTTTCCTTGATGTGACCGTTCTGAGGCACGCCGTTCTGGCCTGCTGCCCCGCCGCCACAGGCCTCAGTATGGGCATTTTGGGCGCCGTTCTCAAGGACATGACCATTTGTCTTGTCCTTCCGCGGGGAGTCCTCGGAGCTTTCCTTCCCACAGCTACACGCTGAGCCCATCACGAAAGCGTTACAAGACACCAAACATCTTCCACTTAAATCGTCACTTACAGTTCTCTATTTACTGTTTCATTCCCAGGTCTCACTCACTCACCAGACGGTCCCATTTCGACGTTAAAAAACGCCTTACATGTCCCACTTTACTGTTACTTATAATGCTTTTTATAAAGTTACATTCCTGGGTCTCACTTATACGTCGATTCCATCTCAGAGGCGTCACTAAACATTTTCCACTTTGTCACTTATAACTTATAATAATTACTTATAAAAGTTATATTCCAGGATTCTTACACACATTCGTTACTCATCTTCGTCACCATCCTCCTCATTTATTCACCATTCTATACTGTAGGGGACACGACAAGTAACAACCCGACAGAGACACGATGACAGACAGACAAGAGACACTGCCTTTCAGTCTCGCTCGTCGCTACATCTCGAGTCGTGTGGTTAATTCCACACTAAAATTAGCCACTGGCAACTGAGGTTATCAATCTTTGTCCCCTCACCTGAAGGTAAACCTTATGCGCCTGGGAGGAAAAAAAATATAATAAAGCGTAAAATTTCAGCATCATGACGTCATACACTATATGGTCGACAGCCGCAGGAGACGAGATGGTCTCTACGGGACTAGGGCTGTGTTGCAGTCCCAAGCATCGTGTTGTGTTGGGTTATACGAGTAGGTTATCATGGTGCGTGAAGAGGGAGGGTAAAGCGGGGGGTTGTGGAGGGGGGGTTCGGGGTGTGGAGGGGGGGTGGATGGAGGGGAGGCCGTGGTAGGGAATGTGGGAGTGTGGTGGGGGGTCGATGGTGTGGTAAGGAGTATGGGGACGTCAGAGGTTGCTCGGGGGTGTGGAGGGAGAGGTCTGGGGGAGGAGGGGCCGGGGTGGCGTGGAGGGGTCGGGGGGGGGCGTGAAGGGTGTGTGGGAGGGGGAAGGTGGAGGGGGAGAAGGCGTGGAGGGGGAAGGTGGGGAGGGGGAAGGTGTGGAGGGGAAGGTGGAGGGGGGAAGGTGGAGGGAGGAAGGTGGAGGGAGGAAGGTGTGGGAGGGAGGAAGGTGTGGAGGGAGGAAGGTGTGGAGGGGGAAGGTGGAGGGGGGAAGGTGGGGGGGAAGGTGGAGGGGGGAAGGTGGAGGGGAAGGTGTGGGAGGGGGAAAGGTGTGGAGGGGGGAAAGGTGTGGAGGGGGGAAAGGTGGAGGGGGAAAGGTGGAGGGGAGAAGGGAGGGAGGGGTGTGGTGGGGAACGTGTTGAGGTATGAAGGGAGAGGGTATGTGTGGGGGGAGGGAGGACAATGTTATCTTAACTTGAGGAATTAGTCATCGTAATCAAAGGGTTAAGACATCGTGTGCAAGGGTTTGTTACTGTACTGAAGGAGTTAAGTCGTAGCATTGAAGAGGTGAAACTTGAAAAAATATCCAGTGATTTCAAATGAACAGACAATTTACCTTAAAATAGCCATCAATACAGACAATCTGGTATCTAATTTTGGGGATTTCATGTTGAATTTTTCTATGACTAAAAGTACAAAGATTAAGTCCAAAATGGCAATAATATTAATCTGTAACTCGAAGTTACCTTAATACATTCACTCAGCACCAGTTGAGGGACCGTAAATAAACACGTTCACTTGGCACCAATTAGGGGGAACAATTAAATACAGAACCACCATGAATACCAGATTTCAGAAGGACAAACTTTGACAGTTTAAAGAGGCAGCTGAGAGAGGGGGTGTCGCCCTTGGCCGTGAACTTGACAGATGACTCCGACCTGATAACGAGATCTGAGATTGCCGAGTTCCACGACAATTTAAAAAATGAGTTACTTAATGCACAAAGGCAGAACATACCATACAAAAAACTCAGATCATACAACAATGACCCTAAATGGATAAATAATTATTTAAAGAACATCATTGGCCAAAGGAAGGCTATAGGTAGAAGGATAAAGCGTGGCGAAATTTACCTCCAGGATTATTATAAGATATTGGCGAGTAGGGTTAAAACCGAGATAAGGAAAGCCAAGAGGAATAATGAGGTAAGGATAGCAAGGGAGGCGAAGACAAACCCCAAAGGATTCTACCAAATCTATCAAACTAAAACACGAGAAAAGATTGGACCAATACGGTCAGATACCAGCGAGCTCACTGATAACGACGGAGAAATGAGCAATAATTTGAATAAATATTTTTCAACAGTTTTCACCACTGAAAATTTAAACATGATACCCGAGGCACCGACTCTATTCAGAGATAGTGAAGAAAACAAATTAAGCGAGATAGTAGTGACTAGTAACGATGTTAGTAAGCAAATAGACAAACTAAAGCCTAATAAGTCACCTGGTCCCGATGAGATATTTGCCAGAGTATTAAAGGAATGTAAGGAAGAGCTTAGTATGCCCTTAGCAAAGTTGTTTAACATGTCCTTAAAAACAGGTGTAGTACCAGAATCCTGGAGGATAGCGAATGTAATACCGATTTTCAAGAAGGGGGATAGATCACTATCCTCTAACTACCGCCCAATCAGTCTAGCATCAATAGTAGGCAAATTACTGGAAGCAATCATTTCAAATTTCTATACGAAATCACCTGGAGAAGCACCGATTGATCAATGATTCCCAGCATGGCTTCACAAGCGGACGTTCTTGTCTAACTTCTATTAACATTCTTTCATCAGTTTTCGAATCGGTGGACGAGGGGCACACCAGATGTGGTATATCTCGACTTAGCAAAGTCTTCGACAGAGTCCCCCACGACTAATTAGAAAGGTAGAAGCACATGGAATCAAAGGTAACATCCTTAAATGGATTAGGGCGTGGTTACAGGACAGGAAACAGCAAGTGAGCATTAACGGCACTAAGTCCCATTGGAGCAACGTCACAAGTGGAGTTCCCCAAGGCTCAGTACTTGGACCATTATTATTTATTATATACATAAACGACATAGATATCGGCATAGACAGCAACATAAGTAAATTTGCTGATGACACTAAAATAGGACGTGTTATCAAATCTGACGAGGACTCAGCAAAACTACAGGAAGATCTAAAAAAATTTTTCGAATGGTCTGAAAAATGGCAGATGAAATTCAACGTCGACAAATGTAAAGTACTCAGTATAGGAGATGTAAATAGGGAAACCAGATACCAGATGAACAACGATGCCATAGAGAAATCCGACTGCGAGAGAGATTTAGGAGTAATGATAAGTAGGAACCTTAAGCCAAGTAAACAATGTGTTTTTGCTCGTAACAAGGCTAATAAAGTACTTGGGTTCATACAAAGGAGGTTAGTTACAAGTAGCGAGGTCATCCTAAAACTGTATCTTGCGCTTGTGAGACCACACCTGGATTACGCAGTTCAGTTCTGGTCACCGTATTACAGGATGGATATAGAATCATTGGAAAGAATTCAGAGGAGAATGACAAGACTAATCCCGGGCATTAGGAACCTTGAGTATAGAGACAGGTTAAAGCATCTTAATTTGCACTCCTCGAGAACGAGTGAGGGGCGACCTGATAGAGGTGTATAAGTGGAAGTCAGGGCTAAACAAAGGGGACATTACAAAGGTACTCAAACTATCCAACCAGGAGCGAACTCGTAACAATGGTTTTAAATTAGACAAATTTAGATTTAGGCGTGAAATAGGTAAACATTGGTTTGGAAACAGAGTAGCGTATGAATGGAACTAGTTACCAAATATCATCATTAACTTGAATACGCTGAATAGCTTCAAACATAGGTTGGATGCTTATATGAGCAATAGGGGTTGGGTGTAAACGGGACTGCCCAGTATGGGCCAATAGGCCCGCTGCAGTTTCCTCCGTTCTTATGTTCTTATGACTCAGGACAATTTCACAGTCCGTGTTTACAAAATCAAATTTTAGCACCAATCAACATCATCAAACCTGATGAAGAACTATGAAAGGAGTTTACAACTTACAGTTAAACCATAAAACACATTTCGGAGAGTCCACACAAAACTCCAACAGCCAAAGTCAAACACAGATCTCCAACAGCCACAAACCATAGGCCAACACCAGCACCGTCAAGTGAGAAAATCGTCCCTCTCTCCCTCAGCCACACCTCCAAGTGACACGAATATCAGGTTTCCTAAGAGGTCTTAGGGGGCCACCAGCTTACTGTGAGAAACATCCTCTATGATCAGGATAATAACGTAAGATTGTGTGGTGACGCTATTTCCTCTCTTACACAATACCTAATCTTACAACTGGTATGATCACAACACCTGATCCCACAACACTTTATTTCACATCTGGCGTGGTCAAAATCTCCCTTCAACATCAAGTGTATCAAGAGCTAGAAACTAATCCATATCCCACCCAGCAGCTGTTTTTTGTTGTAATGTGCAGTATTGAGACCCTTCAACGTCCAGGGTCATTAAGTTCAGTTCACACCCACAAGTCTCTCTATCTGACAACTTTCTAAATAAATTATGAAAGAAATTTCCACTCAGTTGATGATGTTTTGATATACAATGACGAGCTTCAGTTGCCAGGGTCTTTGTATCTACACCAGAGTATACTTTAACAATTACTGGTTGTTGTCTTTATGAGTTGACATGCTTCAACATTTATGCTATTTTATAAAAGACCACAAGGTTTCATTTTCCAATCGACAAAATTCTCACATCTTATATACTCGACAACAACAATGGCACTTATACGACTTACGCTTCACTATTTACAAAACCACATAGTTGTTTAGATATATTTTGACACTACAATAACTAATGTCTTCCAGCGTGTACTGTAAGTCAAAATCTCATATACTAGACATCATCTCAATACTTAAAGATACATCCACCTCTCCACATGTCCCTGTAGTGCATAACTGTACCTCAACAAGAAAGGTACTTAGACCCGCACTCTCTTATACACGAGCCATCAATTATTAAAACTGCCATACATTTGATCTATATACGTACACCGTGACACTAACGACCAACTGGTGAAATAACTGACTACGAGGGGAACTTGTTCTGCCACTGGTAACAACTCTTAACTTCTAAACTAACCTAATATTTATTCATCTCAACAGGTTTAAAACTAATTTATCCTCGATAGCCAGAGACACAACTCCGTAGCCACCTGTTTCGTCGTGACTTTAACCATCGTCAAGTAATAGACCGAAACGTTAAAAATAAAACCCATCACCGACTTCATAATATAAACCCTCATCAGGAATTCCCACCAGTCTAAAATATTTATTATCAGGTCATTTAATAAACTAATTTAATTTGGTGACAAGCGAGCGCCAGAGGTAGCCATTTAGTGTATACCATTTGTGATCTAACTTCGACCATACTATATACTTTACACACATCATATGACACTGGTGTATACAGATAAAAAGCTAAGTGTTTCTGAGTTACAGCAACAATACCAAGGTAACATTGTACCACCAACTCAAGACCATCACACACACACACACACAACTATACTGAATATATCACCACCATCCAAATATCAACAAATAAAAAATCAACCTCTATAAATACTAACTGGAGGAAAA